CCTTTCACACACCGAGCATCCGATACAACTAATAAACAATAAAATAGCTTGTTCGCAGTGAAGCGAACCGCTCCACGAGCCACACTCATAATTGGAAACAGCTTACCCTGCCGTAGCATCGTCGTTAGCTGCTGACTCGGCAACATTCCACTGTGCGAAGCCATTGGTGTTTGATCATACACCACCGGCAATGGTGACTGCCGTGACTTCGGTGACATTGCTCCAGGTCCAGCGGACGACATGATGCGTGTCGAAATACCCCTACACACAGCAGCTTGGACCCTATGCTGCATTTGTTGATGCTGCCGCTGCTGCTGCTGCTGATTAGCCGCCATGTAGGCTGTCTGCGACTGGTATTAAGATAATATTTGAGGAACCAATTGTCGTCAGGCCATGTGTAGTATCGATCCGGGATAAAGTGGTTGTTGTGGTGGAGGGGGGACGCCAGGGTCCACGATACTCTCAAAGTAAGTAAACTGTTGTTGTTGGAGTCACAACGGAAGTCGCTGTTGCTGAAACATAATTTCACGAGGTGGATACGCTGAAACCATAGACTGTCACTCGACTAAAAGTGAATAAGAGGCTGCCAAAAGTACTTGAGATAGAACGTGTTCCGTTTTAGGAATCGTCGCCGTTTGTGTCGTGGGATGGTGTGGTGGTAAAGGTCCATCAGAGGCGAGGCCAACACTAGCACTACTACCACCGCCTCCGGTCGTCTCAAACTCAATCAATTGGGACTCGATGTCAAGGGCATTCAAATCAGGCAGAAAATGAAGTTCTGACTGAGGCTGTTGGATAGGTGTTACTGAAGCGAATGGTGCAGTGGCTACAACAGGTTGCTGCTGACATGTCTACTGCGAATCCTGTGGCCTCAACGAGGCGATGTTTTGAACATCCTCAGCAAACATGGGACGGCTTTGAACTTGGTGCTGCTCGCAAACAACTTCTGGTATGGGCTAGAAAAGTGACACGACAATTACTCAGCATAGGTGAATTTGTATGTCCTCTGGAAAATCAAAAGGCAGCTTGCCGCGCACTAACACTTACCCTAGGCGCCAATTCGATTTCCGTCCTCAGATCCGCTACACAGACAACCTGTTCTGCGCGTGTTTGTCGT